TGTTTTACTGTCAAGTTATGTTGGCAACAAACAACAGAATAACCGGCTCCGGGTATGATCAGTTGTGTGTGAAATGTTCACCGTTCCGTGTAAACGGTGCCGTTTGGACGGTCGCCGTGTATGTGTGAAACGGGCCAAAGTGTTACTGGAACGGCGGCAAACGTCTACCAGACTACAATGCGCAACAGCCCTTAAGACGGCCATCATCATATGCACTTGTGCTTAAGTGAAAATAATTGTATGAATTGTAAACGAAAGAACTACTGTGATGTTCATTAATATTTTAAAAGTCGACTGTATGATAGTGTTTACGTCTTTAACGAGTGGTTAATCGATTAATTTATTTAATCGACTCATTATTTAATCTTCGTAAGCCTTTCGTAATCCGTAACGCCAAGGGAAATGGGAAATGCATACAAAATGCCAATCTTGATTACGTACAGGGACAACTTTATGTAAAGCACATCCTCATATCCGTGTACATCAATTCTGAGATCACAACATTCACATTGGTGTTGCGTTGTCTTTTTAAATCTCTGTATTTAAAGTAGTACCCTCCATCAAATTTGACTTAAAATTGTGTTTCTGTAGATGTATAAGTCATGATACAATGACGTCTTTTCGGGCTATTAGCCGTGTCAAAATGGCGTTGTAATCGAACATTTCGGTCACTGTCTCTGCCCTGATGATGCGAGCAGGGACCATCTCCTAAACATCGCATAACAACGCCATGATCATATGGTTTATGGCAGGAGAAGACTTCATTGCATTTACTGGCCATGCAATCTTCGAATCCTACAAAGTCGTGCTTCACTGTTTATAAGCCGAACTGTCTCTGAACTCCATAGCCTGAACAGAAATCAAAATAGTCACATTCATACTCGTCGCCTTGAGAATCTTATTTCGACACATATCGTTTTAGCAAGGAAACTGTGAATCAGAGGACGCCAACAGATGTTTTAAACCGATATATATCGTTTTAGCATTGTCTTACTAAACTGCAGAACCTTTTATATTTTTACTCATCAGTTTGAATTATTTTAGTTTGTAACTATTATATCTCGATCTTAAATCCATCTTGCATACACATTAATTATCTATTAAGGGAGGAATTTTACATGAACTGGATACAACATTACAAGATTATCCCTACAGTATACTTCACTGGCTGTGGCCATACAATTTAAGTACCGCTCTGAGACCTCCAAACCTGTAAAAGACGAATTACCGACTGACACGACTGGCTCTTTGTTGGAAGTACTAATGGTTCGGTAGATCTCCTGTCCAATCTGTAAAGGGTTCTATCCCCGCGGGTGAAGCCTTCCGAGTGTTCTGTTTGGTGCAGAGGTTAGGGATGCGTGTTCTTGACCTCCTTTACCTTTCTGATGGCTTAACGACGTTTTGTCAAATTATTTTGTTACTGAAAAAGAAGGCTATTAACAACAGTAATGAATTTAAAGCATGTTAAAGAATCGTGGTCTGTGTTAGGTTTCTGATCCAAAGTTTTTTCATGATTGTTATATTTATTGTCGTTATCATAATTTCATCGACTTGCTGGTAATGAAACTCAAAAATCCCAACATGAATGACCATGAACGAGCTTCCTCCGTCTGCCATCCTTCCATTCGGTTTTCATATCTACATTTGCTCTGAAGATGGAGGCGATACATTTTTCTGAATCGTTATTAACCACTCACAAGACAACACGGCGTTCCAGTCTGTAAGACTATAGTCGACATCTTTACCGCCGTGAGAACCTTAAAGCTCAGATCGATAATAACTTTCTTCTATCTTCTTTTCGATATTTTTCGCCCAAAGAAATTGTGTATGATTTTTCTTGCCTCCCAGTTTGATCCGCATGTTCGGCCAATCGTAACCCCAATGATATAAATAATTCTGACCCCTGCATGTTCCACCTCCTGGGTTAAAATATGTTCGTCTCATTTTGTACAACTCTAACAACAATTCACATTTCGTGGATATTGCCAACAAATAAACACTTTAAACGATAAGAAAATATCCAGCGGTTATTAAAATCAAGTCTCTCCCACGAAATTAATTTGGGCTCAGGAGAAAGGGTCGTCAATCAAAAAAAATGCAATTAATGTAATTATGAACATAACGCATGAAAGATAGTGAGAGTGTGAGTCGACCAATGAGGAGCGGGCGCTCGGTGACGTCACGGTTGCTGTCTGCCAGGCGGCCTGTGAGATTAGACCACCAGAAGGCTTCGGGCCGAGCTACGTGTTGGTTGGTATTAGTGAAGTGAAGTGTGGTTATGTGCGCTTACAGAGTTCCGTTAAAGACTCATGCTTTTCCGTGTTTGTGATTTTGTTTTATTTTTTGTAGGATGTTACTGAAGTTCTTTTATATAGTGGGCCGGTTTTAGTTTGACACATTCTGGTTTTAATTTGTAAGCTACGAACTGTCATTGCTTTTATAACAGTAAATGGGCGGGAAAACAGAGAACATTTAACAACTGGACAGACATAAGCATCCCACTGTCACCAATGTGGACTGCGAAATTATGGATGATCTTGCTTCTCTCAGCTGTCGGACTTCGGACTCCAGGTAAGCCATAATGTTCCATTAATGTCACGTGGTCGTTCATTTCGACGCTTGCCGGCGAGAGTTACGTTACACTTCAGGAGCAGTGCAGAGGAGAAGAATTAGCATTTTATTGTGTGTTTATGTTGGGATAATAAAAGAATAACAGAGTATGAAACATCCACGGCATTGTGGTCCTCACACTCCTATGCATAAAAAAGAGGATTGTTGACCATCACAGGAGAATGAATATGCTTTAATATTCTTTGAAGAATTTAAATTCTTGAAAAACCTTAGCTATGTTATATGCACAGTAGTTTATGAATTAATATTTAATTAACATTTTTGTAAGCACTGATTTGATTCTTTGCACAGAAATATGAAATAAGGAAGTGGTTTTACTTTGGTTCCAGAATTTGTTGTTTTCTGCAACTGTATTTAAGTTTATTTTAACGCGATGCTATTGTTCAGTGAGAAAATTTAGCGCGAAAAGCATGTTGATATGTTCACGAAATGTTCAATTTTTTTTTGTTACTAATAATTAATTCCAAAACCGCAGTAAATGAAGGTAAAACGAACCACTGCTATTGTCTTTGCTATAATCAGAATGCTTTAAGCCAGTTCACCCAGAATATCAGTTTTACGTATTGCATTAAGAAGCAGTCAGTTATAATTTAATACGCTTACAGTTTTACGAAAAATTCACAACCTTTGGCTGAGTTTTCGAAGAACTTTGTCATCGTGTGATATTAATTTACTTGATCTGCTTGAAGTCTGGCAGTTAATACGATGCTACAGATTACCATTATGTGATAAACACTTTCTTCGAGGATCATAATCTGGGCACCTCAGCAACTTTTTAGGATGCTTAGCGTCCTTCTGGAAGCGACGTATTTGATAACACTTAGAAGAGTATTTGAATAATGACACCACTATGAAAACGTTTTCGAGTGCTGCTGTACCCGAACGTACAGCACTGCATAGCGTTCTTCCCATCGCTGAAGAACAATGTGACTGCTGTGCATACGCCATGTTTTATATCAACTGACTCCATTTTAAAATTATTGATTGATTTTTCTTTATGTGTTGGTTTATTTAAGGATGCGTTCTCAAATTCAAAAGTAGCATAGAGTCGGTATATTATTACGAATGATATGGAAGTGGTCGTGGTATATTTAAGGCTAAATATCAGTATTTGCTTGGACAAACTCAGGAAAACCACGAAATGTGTTAGGATAGCCGTCCTTTTGACAGAAATTCGAAAGTGGTACCTCACGAATGCGAACCAGGGTTTTCATATCCGGTACATAAAGCATTAATTCCGCACGATTACAATGGCGGTGATGAGATTATGAAGTGCGAATTAAATTACTGAATTGGCGAAGTAGAACTAAATTTACGACGGTCCTCAGTGTGGATGTTTGGCCCTAGGCCAAAACTTTGGAGCTCCGAATATGAATCGGGTTTGGCACACGCTGTAGTACTCTACCGACGAGCTTTTTCTTCGTTTCTATATTAGTGATGACTTTATTTTTACTCGCTCAAGGTCATTATCAAGACAAAATTTAGTAGGATTTGAGGTTCTCACGGCGGTGCGAACAAAGATGGCTGTCTTCTGGGTCATAGCGCCGTTAATTTTTTTTAGCAGGTTACAAACCTTTCGGAGGTCCTTTGCTGCCTCCTTTATCAGGACTGTGAGTAACGTTTAGCAGAGTGCATGAGCTGCAACTCAGAAGACAGCCATCTTTACGTGGAATTAGATTGGTAATTCACCTTTTAAACTCTTTACAGTTTGCAGTTGATTATTTTTACTGTGTATTTTGTTTCACGTACGTAAATGAAGAGATAAATTACTTCAGTAGTTAATTTAATGTTGTTAAATAAAGAATTTTCCTATTCCGGCCATGGTATTCGTTTTTACGTACAAAACGGAAACAAAAGAAAGTTGGTTTTTGTCACATTTTTGCTTAGAAGTTCTATACAAACGGAAGCTTTGATTCAGTTCACCGTTTTTATAAAATTCCTTTCTTGATGTTCCTTAACGGTTCACAGGGAAATACAAAATTTATGTGTTCTGCGTCGGGCAAGTAATATTCTACAATTTTTCACTCGTCAATAACTGGGAAAGCAGCGTATTGGTATTCATGAAGTGTTTTCTGTTGATAATTTCGTTGAGTTTATATTAAAAAACTGAAATTTTTCAGAGGAGAGCCTAATGCAGGGAACTTGTTTTTATAAATGCAATTATGGGCCTAATGGTGTGAAGAACGCCTCGTGATATAGACAAGCTACGATTAGGGTACATCTGAAGTGTTACATTCAGACTTTGAAGCTGTGGCTAGTAACTTGTATTTACAACGCCACGTCTGAGTTAGTCACTTCTATAAGGCGCGGGGTGAGGGAGATTTCTACTGCTGGAAATCCACGAATAGTTAGCTTTAGTGAAGTGCCGAGAGATTGTGGGACATATTTAACTGATCTTATCGAATACCAAATAAGTCCAGAGCAAAGAGGTCAGTACTTATCTGCAAGACCTATCGTGTGTAGTATCATGGAAAGGGTTGAAGTTTGTTTTCAGTTTCCTCGCATTTATATATTTTAAAGAGAACGTTTCACACTGTTGAAAGTAAATGTCGTCTTCAGCGTGACCCATGTAGAAGTTTAAAACTTGGTACAGTTTTAGAATAAATATAAAAAATATAAAAAAGTATTCCTTGATTTAGGTCGTTTACAGGTAGGCCTGCAACTGAAAAGTAAAGCCATAGCTTTTTGGTGGGCGTAAATATATTTTTCAATAACTGATTTTTGTTGTGTATATGATGAACCTACCAGGTCCATTACGATAAGATCACGTTTTGAATAGCTATGTAACTGTATGTCGTTAGTAGTAACTTGTGAAGTTAATTCTTGTGTAAATTGAAAGCTGTTGAAATATAGTTTCATGATAAACTATTTTCAGCTATCTTTGAAGAAATGTTGCTTTAATTTTGTTAGTAACCTGGTGAGGATAGATAGCTAGCTAGCTAGCTAGCGTTACCAGCGCATCCCTTTTACAAGAGCACTCTCCTTGACACTCCAGTACCAAACCGCGGAGCTACATTAACATGCCGTGTCTGGGAGCGGTTCGTGGTTTTACTCAGTCCCTCCAGGCTACTAACCTAAGTACATTACAGCTTCCCAATTTACACTCGGTGATAATGTTCTATTTGCATAAGCCCCGTAGCAAAATTGAGGTACTGGAATCAAATAGGTCTAATCGATATTGTGGGATCTGAGACAACCATCTGGTTGTTCCAAACACGACCTTTCGCTTTCGTAATGGGACACTGGAAGCGGAAAGACAGGAAGATATTTCTTCATTTATTTAACGATTGATTATCGACGGTGTGTGTTAGATCTTGGGCTTTCAGCCTTGGGTGGCCGGATTTTCATGTGGTGAATGAATATGAACGTCAAATGAAGTGTTTTTAGCATATTTAAGATGCTATCCCGTAATTTTCTCGTATGATACTTCGTAGTGGTGTAGTACTGAGTACGTCGGTAACGATAACTCTGTTGGAGAGTGGTTAGCACTGCTTTGAATTTGGATGTCCCGGATTCAGAACTCGGTGGTTGTCCTTGGAAATTCAGGAAAATGTTTTGGTAGTACCTTGAAATAGTCCATGGCATCTTTCTTTTTCCCTCCTACTATATCACCTACGTAACATATCAAACTTTCATTAACGCTACATAACGTGTTGAGTTGATTAGACTAATACGTAGACAACAACAGTAGGCCTGATATTTATTCCCCACAACCAGTTAATGTTGCATCTGTTGGTGAATTTTGCGATCTTATTCCAAGCTAGCAGTGAAATAAGTAAGCAATAAATATTTAATTCTTCCTTCTTTCCGCCGTGTTTCTTCTTGATATTGCTTCTATTTTCAAAAATTCTTTTTATGTCTACATTTCACCTATTATCCCTCAAACCTTTTCCCTGGTGGTTTGGACAAATCGCGTCTCAGCACACTGTAGAACTATACCTACGTGTTGTGTTTTTCTGGTTCAAAATACACAGCCAAGGGGAAAATTCGCAGACAATATGTTAACCCTTTGAAGCACGAAACTCAACTAAACAGTATTTAAAAATTCAGTTCATACCTCAAAGAGAACACAGCACTTCCCCATTACAGAGCTCATCTGGTTAATGATGTTTAGGAAAATAACTGTTTATTATGAGAATCGTACGAAACATATTAATGCATTGAGTGGAAAAATCCAGTTATTGAGCATTAAAGCAGGCGGTACGTATGGGTACCACTGTTATTTAAAGGTCTTAGCACATAGGTCTTTAGCTGTTACCGGACTGTAGCTATTAATCAGTTCTTTAGTTTATTTTCTTACGCTGTATCAACTTCGTAGAACATCTGTCAGATTTGAAACGTCTGAAAGCCTGAGAAAGGAAGATGCCCTTGCGTTTTGAAGGAAAAATTATTTCTCGAGAAACTGAGCATAGCCACAAAATATCAGTTTCATAGGTATTAGCTCTTTCGAGATTCGAACTAGATACACCCACTAAGGCAGACACCTGATTAATTAAACGCTCGACGTTTTGTATTTATCATTGTGAAAGAAGAAAGGTAATCTTCTTCTTCTTCTTCTATGGCTCTCCGGTCGGTATTCGGTCCATGGCCTCCAAAATTCTCCTCTTCCATTCGGTCCTATCCTCCGCTGCCTTCTTCCAATTTATAATCCTCAGGAGCAGTGTGGCATCCGTTTGAACTGCATCCTCCCATCTGTTCCTGGGTCTTACAACTGGTCTTCTTCCTCCAACACTTTCTTTGAATACCATCTTTGGAATTCGGATGTCGTCCATCCGAATCAAGTGACCTGCCCATTTTAGTCTCTTGATTTTTATAAATTGTGACAATAGTATGTCTTAAAATAATTTATAGATTTCCTGATTAGTTTTTATCCTCCATTCAGAAGAAAGGTAATCGATGATGTATAACACACGTTGTTTTAACTTCATGGATAGGAACCC